AGGGAATCTGTCAAAGGGCATGGACCTTTTCAGGGATTGCCAAATTGGCTTTGAGAAAGACTCACAAGCAGCATGAAATTATGTACTTTTCAGTTACAAAAAAAAAAGTTCATTACTTTGAATGTGGAGAGAGGGATCTTAAGAATAATAGTCTGAGAAGCAGCAATGCTACTCAGTATCAGAGGTCCCTTTTATCTGAGAATATCAGAGCACTTTTTAAAAAATGTGTTTTGCAGGCTGAGATTTATACAGAAAGATTTCTACTTGTATAGTTACTCTTCTATGTCTGTGTTGATTTTGGAAATATTCAAAAGAAAATGAATATATAGACTTTTTTTCTTATTGTTCTGTAAGCAATAAAATATAACAACTACTGTGTTTGTACAGCATTTGGATTGTATTATGAGTAATTTAGTGATGATATAAAATATAGGGAAGGATGTGTGCAGTTTATATGCAAACACTAAGCTATTTTATATATAAGGTATCTGAGCATCTGTGGAGTTACTCTTTGCAGGGGGCCCTGGGGCTACTCCCCTATGAATACCAAGGGACAACCATACAGCAAACGGAGAAATTCAGGCACTTCTCCAAACCAGTACCACACAAGAAGTAAGAAGACCTGACTCAGCTCAGTCTTTGCCGAGGGCACCATATCCCTTCTCTATTTTCTCTGCAACTAATTCTGATGTAAGTCCCACTTGCTTCTGATTATCAGCTCTGCTAATGGATCCCCAGCAAGTAGCTCTTCTGAGCTGGAGCAAGGACTCTCACTCCTGTGTGCAGATGTTTACCCACAAACCATCATGTTCAGAAGGGCAGTGAGTGGTCATGTTCTTAACAACAGCTGTGAAATGCAATGAGGTTTTTAGACTTTGAGCCATTTTCAGGTTGACTCACCTGGCTGTGCCTACATCAGAGAGCACCTGGTCAGGTGCCAGGTGTTAGCTGGTGAATGTGTCACTTGCCTGGCAGCCTCAATTAAGGGTTGTACCTGCCAAGGATCTGAAGCAGCTACTTGCTTGTACTTACACAGCACTTGGGTTGGATTTTTAATCCATGGATACAAATAGCAGTTATTGGGCTGGGGATTTAGCTCAGTGGTTCTGCTGCCTGCCCCGAAAGTGCAAGGTCTTGAGTTCGATCCCTGGTACCCCCCCCCCAAATAGCAGTTATTATTTTTTGTTTGTTTGAGGTAATTTGGTTTTTATTTATCAGATTTTGTGCTTACCATTTACTGGGTACCAGGCACTATGCTTTGCATACACAGTCTCATATAAGCCTGCAATAATCACATGAGGTAGGTACTGTTATTAACTTTATTATATCTATGACAAGATTGAGGCCTAGAGAAATTAAGTAACTTGTCCATTATCCCAGAGTTAGTAAGCAGTGGAGCTTAGGGTCATTCACCAGGACCAGCTACATAATTTGCAGGGCTTAGTGCAAATAAATAAAAGATGAGGAATACCAAAATGGCAGTATCAGAGCAGTAAACTAAGCATGGGACCCTTCTAAATGTGAGGCCCTGGCTGACTGCACAGTTTGCATACTCAGAAAGCAGGTGGGCATGCATAGGCAGGCTGGTTCCAAATGCACATGCTTAATTAAAAGGCCAGGGCTGGGCAGCACCTGTTTGGCAAAGATTTAACATTGGCACATAAATAGAAAACAGAAACTTCTATGTGTATGTATCAGGCGTAAGTCCTCTTTAAACGCCAGATTTTTCCTTCATAAAAGACTTGGAACTGTTTCTCTAGCTATGGATGAACAGAGCTGAGGCTTGTCCTTAATAGCCTCCTATTTGTTTCTGGGTGTGTCCTTGCTGGGCCGATCAGATCATCGTCTGCTAAAAGTCACCAGGAGCCAGTTGGTGGAGAAACCTATTGAACCTCCTTTTACTTTTTCTGAATCTGGTTCTAATGTTCTGGACTGGTTTTCCTGAATATCTCCCCTGGCAGCTGCATCACACCCTCTTATTTCTCAGCCTCAATTGTGTGTAGCTGCCCAAGAGAAACTCATATCTCAAATCCAGCCATGGGCCCTCCAAGTCATTGAGCCAACCCAGGTCAAGGTATGAATGTTTCGTCCTTTGTCCTGGTGAGAGAACAACAGAGTTTCTGGAAGGAAAATAGGAACCAACCATCTGTTTTTTCCCTAGGGCTTAGTTTTCCTGAAGACATATTGCTCAGAAGTGACTCCTTCCCCATTATACTACAGGGCAAGGTGATAATTGCTAATACTGGGTGCTTACCAGGCACCATGTGTCACAGGTCTTTGTCTTCACATGTGAATCATGATTCACATGCAACTCAATGAACATTTAATAATAAGATAGATGCTTTAGTAGCCCTATCTTTCAGATGAAGAAAGGGAGGTTGAATAACTTTCCCAAGATCTGAGAGTCAGTACACAGGAGACTCAGAACAGGAACCATGTGGTCTCTAGGTTACAGCCTAACTACAACCATCACAGCTTACTTCAGAGTCCCACTAAGCATTCTGGAAGGGCAGGCAGGGGAGCTTGTAATGCCAGACACAACTACAGCTGAAACTCCAGGAAGGTGGCCTTCTTATTCCTCGGTGTAAAGCTCCGGTATAAATTCTAGAATCTTCCAAGAGTGACTGGGTTGGGGAGGGTGTCAAACAGTTTCTCCATGTAGTTTACCAGGGGCAAGGAACACAGATACATCCAGCTCCATGTGCAAGATCCAGTACTACTCTTGACTGCTGATCACTTTATGTCCTCAAAAATGCTGCCCTTAACTATATTTAAGGACTTTGAATATTATACTGTTAGTGCCCTTACCTGAGAACTTTGGTTTAATTTGATTTTAGTGTTCTAGTCTGCAAAACAGTAACCAGTTATAAGTTATAGTAATAAAAGCAACAACAACAATAATAACATCTCTCCAACACTAGGATTTGGACAGGTTAAATGGGTATAGGGCTAGGTCACATGAGGTAGAATTGGACCTTGAGCTTTCACTTCCGCATTTCTTTCTGCTGCTACTTGGGTGACATGGGACAAACCCTGTGAGCACAGGTCTTACCCAAGAGGCTGAGGGTAGGGGCTGCACTTTGATGGCTGGAGGAAGTGTGCAGCACTTGTCAGGATTGAAAAGGATGCATGAACAGCAGATTCACAGCTTCTATTTGCCTGTGTCTGCAGTGTGCTCCTTTATTAGACTCTCAGATGAAGAGAAAACCTATAGTCCCTGAAATCAGGCAATGGTGAGATAGCCAAGAGAGAGACTTCAGTGTCTCCATAAATTTCTAGAATGTTTCCAAGAGCCTGTGTAAAGTGGAGCTAAAATAGAGACACATTTGTTTCCTTTCCAATAGAGCTGGGTTAGTGTACTTGTAAATCGGATTATCCTAGAGGGGAATGCCTAGTAAAATAATTTTTTTTTCCAAGTTCTTGAAAACACTTGAGCAAAGTCCTGAGAGCTTTTTCTGCACATTTAAATTAAAATGATGGTGAATGAAGGAAATACAAGATTAGGAAGCCTTGCCTGAATACTCATTTAGGAAATGGAAACTGTAATTTAAATAATTTGTGATAAGAGGTTTGAACGGTCTGAGCAGAAGGAAAAAGAGCTCACTGAGAAGGAAAATAGCCAAGTGACTCATCCCCAATGCAGAAATCAACAGTGAGCTCTCCAGGCCCATAGGAGGGTGTGTGGTGGACCAGGCGTCAATGTGACCCTTTACTGTGCTGTATTCCTATCCTGCCCATACTGTGCTTCCAGTAACTCACTCATTGCATAGATTCAGAAACAGCCTCTAATGGGAGAATGGTTAGGTGATTATCTAGATCCTGCTTAGCATAACACTGTAATGCTAATTGGCATGAAAATGAAGATCAATTATTTGCAGATTTCATCTTATGTAAATTGTGCTAACACTATAAGCCTTTTCTGCCAGTGATACTTTGTTTAGCTCCATCCCTACAGAGTAGGCCCAGTGTTCACTGTACAATAGTATAATCGAAAATCTCTTAAGAATGCAGATGTTGATGTTTTCAAAGCATTAGTTGGAATTCGTATTGGTAGACCTGACTGTGCAAGGATTCTCTTGTATTCAAACACCTAGTCCACCAAAAAGCATTTATGTAGTACTGTGCCATTGGTGCCAGAGGTGATGGGTAGAGCAGAAGGACTAAATGATGGTATGGGGTTCCCAGGAATGAGAGAGAGCCATGCACAGCTAGGTGCTCTACTGACCCTTCTTCCTCCTCCTCCTTGTCGTCTCATCTTCCTAATCATCTTCCCTTTTTGTGATACAGAGGACAGAACCCAGGGCCTTGCACTAAGATATACTCCCAGCCACTTTCATTTTTCATTTTGAAACAGAGTCTTGATAAGTTGCCCAGGTAGGGCACGAACCTGCAATCCTCTTGCCTCAGCCTCCTGAGTAGCTTGGATTACAGGTGTGCACCTTCATGCCCAGCCTTTTCATTCTTTACTGTTACCAAGCTTCCTTACACAAGTGATAAGTCCTTTCTGAATTTGTAGCAAACCACATTTCCTTTTTAATGTTCAGCACTCATCACTCTATGAAAACAAATGCTGAAGTCAGCCACCATCTGTCCACATAAAGAGGGTGTCCCACAATAGGACTGTAAAGGAGAAGCACCCCTTACCTAATCTAAAAGGGCAATTGTGAAACCTTCCCAGACATTCAGGTCCCCTAAACTAATCATGTCTATGATCTTTGGTGTTTCTAAGAGGATAGTACCATTCTCTATTAGAAGTCCAATTCTGGATGACCATGAATTTCTCAAAATGTATTTAGACCTTAAAATTATTTACAAGAAATGAATCAGGAGAAGCAATGGAACAATATTTTGAATTGCCTTTAAAATGAAATTTTATTCCTTCTGACTCAGGAGGTGGGGAAATGTACAAATCTTGTTAAAAGTCTGTGGATTCTTTGGTCGGCATCCTGCTTTCTCTTCCACCTCACCACTTTCCTTCTCTTTCTACTGTTTCTCACTAGGGTATGGGAATATTGCACCAAGCACTGAAGGAGGCAAAATCTTTTGTATTTTGTATGCCATCTTTGGGATTCCACTCTTTGGTTTCTTATTGGCTGGAATTGGAGACCAACTTGGAACCATCTTTGGGAAAAGCATTGCAAGAGTGGAGAAGGTCTTTCGAGTGAGTACTGCATCTGTTTAAACCTAACTACTGCAATCCAGTTGGCTTTAGCCAGCAGGAGACTGAGGCATTACCAGGAGCATCATTTGCTTTTAGTGAAATAGTTTAATATTATGATTGTGTTTTCTACATTTTGTCTAATTTGGGCACAGTAGCTACATATTCTTTGCTTGAGTAGCTTCCTACTTTAGAGCAGTATTTCTGGAATCACAGCACAAGAAGGTTAAGTATGAATTTGCCAATATAGATTTTCTGATGATGTAAGGCATACTCAGTGTCTTAGTCTGTTTATGCTGCTATAACAAAATCCTGGAGACAAGGTAATTTGTAAAGAACAGAAACTTATTTCTCACTGTTTGGAGGCTGGGAGTTCAAGATCAAGGTCCTGTAGGTTCAGTTGTTCAGTTGTCTGATGAGGGTCCCGATGTCTCCTGTCAAGATGGTGCGTTGTTGCTGTATCTTCTGGAAGGAAAAAATGCCCAGTCCTTACAAGGCAGAGGATTGGAAGGAAGAAGGGCCTAACAGCGCATGAAACTTCTTTTATAAGGGCCTTAATCCCACCCGTGAGGGAGGATTCTTCTTGACCCAATCACCTTTAAAAGCCCCATCTTTGAATACATCACATTGACCATTAAGTTTCGACCCAAGAATTTTGGAGGGGATGCATTCAAACTGTAGCACTCAGTTTAGCCCTAAAGGTGGAAGATGGTCTCTTTAGTGTCTTTGCAAGGAAGTAGAGAAATGTAAATCCACCCATTTTGTTAATGAAACTTCTTCGCTCCCCTGGTGGATCCTGGCTTCTCCCAGGAACTGCTTTCTCCCAACTGAGCTTTGTGCTTTGAGTCTGTCTCCTCTTGGCTCCTCACTGTACTGCCCCCTGCTGGGAGAGCTCCCTCAGCAATAGCTCTCCGGTGTGTGGCTTCACCCTAAGTACTGATAACTGTTGCTGTCGTAGTTTTTCCTCTTGGAAATATTCACCTTTAAACATGGGACAAAAATCTCAAGTCAAGGAATTTATTTACTTAAACTGACATGTCACATGACATCAGTGACAGTTATGTGGGATGGATATGACTGGACTGGGCTTCCCAATCCCCTCTCACCCGCATCCATTCGAATGATTTCACAGAAGTCTTGTTCAGCTTAGGTGTAATGCTGTTTCTGGTCTTTTGCTCACTATGGACCTCATTCTCAAGCCTTCCAGACCTTTCTTTATCAGGGAATGCTTTCTCATGATTATTTAAGTTTTTTAAATGACATTTTGAGATCTTTTTTGGAGTCTAGAATGATGGGCAAAGACAGATCAGTCAGTGATAAGCTCTCAAGCTACACAAGCCTCCATACCCCTCTGAGGTAAGAACTCCTAAACTTTGAGTTTTAGGCTGGGTCTGAAATCCTGGCTTAGATTTCTCTGTAGAAGAGTGGGAGGAAACTCCCCAGATAGGCAATTTCAGAATGGTTGTTTTGTTTTGTTTTGTTTTAGTAGGCTGATGGAAATAAACACAAGAGTTGGTTCTAGTCACATTTATAAGCTGTGCAGTCCTGGGTAACCTGCCTCTGTTTGCTCATTAGCAAAAGCGGATAGAATTTGAATCTATTTGCTAAAGTTTTATGATGATTAAATGAAATAATGTGTGGGAGAAAGCTTGGTACAAGGCCAGATACAGAGCCCAGAGCTGTGTGTGTTTCAGAGAAAAGCAAGCTGGCAAGACAGCCATTCCTTCAGGTTTTATCTGAGTAGCTCATGGTGTATGAACTTTGCTGGAAGGTCCTACAACCTTTGCCCTGGGTGCTGGCTGGCCAACAGGCCTCATTAGCACACACACCTGGGCTTCTCCATGGTCACCATGGAGACTGAAGTATTCAGCTCTTGTGCTTCTCAGATGTTTAGGTCCCCCTGACCTAGATGTGCAGCCCTGTCTACAAGAGCTGCTTTGAACTTCTCAAAGATGTCTCTTAGCTGCTGCTCCACGGCCCTTTGAGTTAAGAGAACAGTGAATCTGTCAGACTGAACATTTAGAAGAATAGGATTCACATGGAGGAATGAATGACTGCTCTGGCATTTTTATATTTATATAATTAGCTTCTCTAGATCTCAGTTTCCTTCATTGTAGAAGAAAGGATTAGATTAAATGCTTTTCAAATATCCTTTTATTAAAAGAATTTTTGTTAGTATATTCTAAATGAGGGAAGAGGTCTCAATCATTTTATTGCATCTGCTACCAAATGGGGGTTTGGTCTCCCCTAATCATTTTCAGACTACAAGTTGAGTGTGTTATTCTCCTTCCCCTTAAAGCTACCTCTAAATGGATCATTTGGTAGAATCTGGGGCTGAGGCTTACACATGTCACATTTCATTTTTATGCTGATGGCCCACTCTGGGCCTTGCAATGCCATCAAAGCCAGGGAGCTTTTCAGGGAGGCTAGACAGATGTATGTTATTGAGTTGGCAGCACAATGGATGCATTTACCCAGTGTTGGAGGGGGCTCTTGGAAGGGTGACTGAATTCTAGGAAGAATAAACATTCTTCCGGAATACACAGACAGTGTTTCCAGTAGCCTTTTGCTTACTGTGTGTAAAGTTTTGGTAGAAAATCTCGAAGCTCTTGGCCATTGATTTAAAGTCCATTTAAAAGACCAGTTACTCATGGGTGATTATTTGAGAAATGCAGATTATATAAACCAACAAGCCTTGAGGTTGTGAATTTTTTTCAGTTCTCCAGGGGAAGATGCATTTAAAAAAAGTTGCATGATGAATAGTAAATCTTTCTTTTGTCCGTTAGATTTTCTCTTAGCTCTTGGGAAGAAATTGTGTGTGTGTGTGTGTGTGTGTGTGTGTGTGTGTAATAAAAATAGAATGTGGAGTCAGCCTTCCGGGTGCCTGTATTCTGAGGTGACACTGGTTTGGGTCTTTTTAACGTATCTCACATCTGAGCCTCATTTTCAAGGATCGGTGAGGCATAATGTAATACTTTGGAATGCCTGATTGTTAGGTTTTTAATGGAGTGAATAAATAAAAACTCTTTCTTCTCCTCTGAAGTTCAGAATTAATTGAGAACTAGCAGAGTCAGACGATCACAATGTTGGCTTTATTGCTGATAAGTCGACTGGAGAATGCAGCTTTAGCTCTGTTAACCAAAAGCCTTTTTAAATTTTCTACTGCTGTGTAACAAATGACCACAAACATAGAAGCTTAAAACAACACACATTTATTATGTTGCAGCTCTTTGGTAGAAGTCTGATGCGCATGGATGGGCTATCTTCAGGATATCGAAAGGCCAAAATCTAGCTATTGGTCAGACTGACCTCGGGGTCTGGGGAAGCTTCTGAATGCATTCATGTTTTGGGAGGGAAAAAAAGCTTCCTGCAGTTGTAGGAATGAGATTCCTGTTTTCTTGCTGGTTTTCAGGTGGCAGCAGCTTTCTCAGCTTCACACACATTCTTTGACACATGCCTCCTTCAGCTTCAAAGATGGCAAGAGTGTGTTGTTTTCTGCTCATGCTTTGCATCTCTCTGGGCCAGCTGGAGAAAGGTCTCTGCTTTTAAGAGCTCATGTGACTAGAACAGAATTGTGAGAATAATCTCCCTATCAACTGCATCATACGTAACATGTGAACGATAGCTTGTTCTATGACCAGTTGTAGGGGTTGGGGTAGTTTATCTTGGGGGGCCATTTTAGACATTCTGCCTCACACACACTGAGTGACTGAATCATAGGCAGCACAGGCCTCCTCCACAAGTATAGTCCACCCCACTAGCCTTGGTGCATTGTGGAGTGTAGACAAAACACATCCCTTTGCTGGAAGATGGTCCCAAATAGCAGAAGAAGGGGACCAAGCTGAAGGGGCTCTGCTTCTAGGTCTACTAGGTAAGTGACTAGTCTGATTGAAAAGTAGGGATAAAAGCTTGGAGTATTACTCAAAGTCTCTCCACATGGTGTGAGAAGCCAAGAAAATGGACATGACCCTCAACAAGGGTTAACAGTGACTTAAGCATCTGGTACCTTATTTATCTCACATAGCAAGAAGCCTGGAGGTGGGTGGTTTCAGATTTGGTGTCATGTGTACTCACGTTTATTCTCTCTCGGTTCTCATTTTCCTTGGAACGTTGTTTATTCATCCTTGGCCTTGTCACTTCATGGTTGCGAAATGGCTGCCATAAGAGTAACTATGGTTTCATCTAACCACATTTAAGCCAAGATAAAAGAGACATTTAAAAAAAAACTTTATATATTTTTTAGAACAGTTTTAGGTTCACAGAAAAATTGTGAGGAAAGGACATAGATTTCCCATATACACTCTGCCCCTATATTATCAACATCACCCACCAGAGTGGTACATTTTCAGCAGCTTATTAATCTACACTGACACCTCAAGTCACCAAAGCCATAGGGTGCATTAGGCCCTATGGATAGGGTGCATTGGCATTGTCCATTTTATGTGTGTGTATAATGACATGGATCCACCATTGCAGTGTCATATAGAGTAATTTCACTGACCCAAAAGTCTTCTGTGCTCCATTTATTTACCTCTCCCTTCCACTAACCCTTGGCAACCAACCATCTTTTTACTGTCTTCATAGTTTTGCCCTTTTGAAAATTTCATATAACTGGAATCATACAGTATGTAGTCTTTTTAGATTGGCTTTTTTCACTTTGCAATATGGATTTAAATTTCTTCTATGTCTTTCCACGGGTTGGTAGCTCATTTTTTTAAGTGATAAATAATGCTCCATTGTCTGTATGTACTGAGTTGACCAATCCATTCACCTACTGAAAGATATCTTGGATGCTCTCTATTTTGGGCAATTATGTATAAAGTTGCTATAAATATTCATTTGCAGGATTTTGTGTGGGTATACGTTTTTAGTTCTTTTGAGTAAACACCAAGAAACATGATTGCTGGATCTATAGTGTGAATATGTTTACTTTTGTAAGAAACCACCAAACTGTTTTCAAAAAAAGGCTGTACCATTTTGAATTCCCACCAGGAATGAATGAG